TTTTTTAAGCCAGACCCTTTTGGTATCTATGATGATAAACAGCAAAAATATCACAAACGTTACTCAATTTCTGTCATAATATCAGCAAGTTTGTCACTGTAGTATTGTTTGACATCATCTGATAGCACCCAGTTTGATGCATATAACTCCACTATTTCCAATAAAACACATATCTTTAGCCTGCTGTTTGCAGTTTTTGCTGTTTCCGTCAACAAAGTACCCCTAATAATATTTATCAACTCTGCCATCTTATCTTTAGCAACTTTCTCCAACAGCAAGCCATGCTTACACATTAACATGTGAAACGTTAACAGGTTGTCTTGAGATTTGTCTCTTTGTTTTAGGAAATCAGTCAAAACAGCATACACTGGAGCCACTAATGCAAGAAGATAATGTCCTTGCACTCTCAATTGACTGAAAAGCTCGCAAAGGAAAGAGGCATAACCTTGGAAAGCTGCATCAGTCAAACCATCCCTCCCTGTGTATTGTTTCTGTAATCGTAGTAAAAGTGACCGTCTAACTAACGCACTCTCTTTAAACTCGTCATCCCAAAGCCTTTTAAAGAGCCCTGCTGAATTTTCCACAACCTCTACATTTTCTAAAATTGAATTACATACTTTATCAACAACGTCGTCCAATAAAGCCGGGAGAATATCGCCATGGGCATTATCTAAAAAATCGACAGCTGCCTGTACAGATCCACTTTGTAGCAATGCCAAAATGTTAACTTTGGCATCTGTATCCTTTACATTGTGCCCGGGTGCTTTATCGCTACTTGTGACTGGATTTTCTCGTCTTCCTCGTCCACGTCCCCTGGACTTGTTAACATTAACAGCAGTATCCATCTTTTAAGAACTCAATAAAAATAAAGCTATGTTTCAGGAAAGAATTGCAAAGCACGTATTGAATAGAATTATTGTAGCTCCCTCCTCCACAGAACCAGCACAGTGTTTTCATTTCTACAGTGTGAAAATGTTCTCATTCTGTGAAAGAGTAATCTAAATAGATAATAACAAAAATTATGAACTTATCTACATAAGCATTAAATATACGAATGAATGTCTTCATTTTCTACTAATTCTGAATAAGTACAGGGGTTGTGCCAAGACATTCAGAGTGGGAGTAGGGACTCGAAGTGATACTGATAGCATTAATTGACTGAAAACTTTGAAAAGGGAGGCATGACTAGCAAAAGTAGGGAGCCATAGATTCTTTCCCTTTTTACTGCAGCTTTAGAACTACTTGCTTTGCCAAAAAGTGGGGGCTGTGGCCATCCCGCATTTTTTGCAAACCATTTTCCAAAATATTTTGTTATTATTGTTAAGTTCTCCCTTGGCCACCCCACTCTCCAACCTGCATCGGAGTCCATGTCTCATAAATTTCATTTATTATCATAAATTTCATTTTTTCAGTGCATTGAGTATGATTGAGCTGACAGTTATTTCTTATATTTTTTTGTTTTGTAAGTTACGCTGTGAATGAAACTTGATTTTGCTCGATTTAATCTAATTTTTATCACTGAACTAGAGATGGAGGAATCTGGAGCGGTTCCGACGGGTCATGTGTTAGATATGCGGCTATATCTTGCAACAGTGCTTCCACAGAGTGGCAGCTGAATATCCTTTTTCCGGACGAAAAATATCCTTAGATTTCCTCAAATCTGATTGGACGAATTTCAAAATTTCCTCAGAATCTCATGTGGGCATTCAAAAACCTGTGGACATTCAACGTAAGTTTGTTGCCTTGCAGCCAGGTGTCTAAGTTACTAAGGTCATTGTTGATAGCCTCATTCAGCTCAGTAATATCAGAAGATCGATAGCACAGGCTGGTGTCATAAGCATACATGGATACAACTGAATCCCGGACAGCCTGAGGGAGGTCATTGATATAAAAGAGGAAAAGTAGGGAGCCAAGACACGAGCCCTGTGGCACACCGGTCTCTATGTCCCTAACTTCTGAATCAATGCCGTTGACCCTACAAAACTGTTTACGCCCAGAAGGTAAGATAGTGTCATAAAAATCAGCTTGAAGTTAATTGTAATATTTCATATATATTTTCATATATTTATTATTTCCATATGTCTGGAAACTCGCTTGTTTCAACGGATGTGTTAAACAGAAGGGCTAGCGAGTTTTCAATAAATGGCTGAGCCAGTTTCAGGATGTAGCTAGAAATGTTGTCAACCCCAAACCTCTTTGCAGCTTTTTCTTTGGTAAATGCATCCCTGATATGCTGCACTCTGCCCTTTTCTGTTGATTTGATAATCACCTGACAGAAGGGGGTTGGGAACCTGGTCAATTTTTTCTGCAAGATCCTTCCCCACTGAGCAAAATAAACTGTTCATAGCATTAGATATATCATTTTTGTGATCAATCACTTTATCACAATCCTTAAGGCAGTCAATATTACTGGACTTGGACCTCTTATTAAGAAGTTCATGGAGAATTTATGGGCCCCGGGTCAGGACAAGAATTAAATTATAAGGCATGCCTAAGGCAGACGTTTCTAGGAGGTATGGGGAATGCTCCCCAGAAATTTTTGAAAATTATGGTTGCTTAAACTGCTAGGGTGGCTATTTTGGTTGCTAAGATTGCCATGGTGGCTAAACTGCGCCGGTGGCAATGGTGTAAATAGAGGGGGTCAGAGGGAGCAAAAACACCACCGTAGAGCTAAACTGCAATTTTGTCGGAAAACCTCTGCTCTTTTCAAAAATTTAACATGGTTGTCTATGTTTATCTAAATGCTATGTTTTGTTTGAAAAAATGTGAATCTAAATAAGCATAAGAATATTCAATATATCAAAAGATCTTTTTTTCAGTTCTGATGTCGTTATGTTGAAATTTTTGTGAAAAGTTTAGAAACTTGTTAGATTTTTATCAGAAAATCCATGTTTCTCACCCCTCCTGTGAATTAGAAAGAAATAGAAAATAATAGGTACAAGATGATACGTTTAAATAACTGAGAATAAAAAACAAGTGGGTTATCGGCACAAGATTTAGGGATATTCAATGGAAGAGATATAATTAATCACAAGTACATTTAATACTTCAGTCAACTGTTTATTCTGTTTCCTTCCATATCGCACTGTTTCATTCAACCTCGCACTTCTTAAATACGATCGAAATACAATGTACGCATCAAATATCATACTTACCATACCTGATAACTGATATCTGATACCTGAAAATTTGAGCATAACTGATATCTTAGCACCATAATGCATGAAAATGAAATTTTCTTAGAAATTCTTAAAGTTTAGACTAAATTGGACCACAACCGACACACTGTTACAAATAGATGCGAATGCCATAGTGTAAATCTGTATGACATACATATTGCCCTGTATGTTGCCCTGCAATCAAATTTTGGTAACATTCAGAAGCTGTTGAACTTCTTTAGCCCTAGCCAACAAAGATGAGAAATTCTTAACAAAATTATATTTAACAGTGAGGCAGGCAACGACTTCATGGACCTTTGTCATTATTGTCTCTAATATTATTTTTTGTTAATTATTACTTAGAATTTTTTTTCAATTGAGTTATTATTTATGGGCCCCTAAAGCCAAGGGCCCCCGGGTCAGTGACCCCCCTGACCCCCCCTCCCTCCTTTCCTCAGCACTGTTAATCATGCTTATTGATTACTATCAGGTCGAGCAGCATGGAAATCACTGACCAGTTTCAGCATACTGTCTTCCAAGCCTCTTTCTCAAGCACAGTTTGATTCTGGTGATGTGATGTAGTGATGTTGTTGTTGGTATTTTCCACGTGGATTATGTGCCAAACAATAACACAAACAATGCTCAATACATAAATGATGGTAAATTTGACCAAATGTTGGAAATGTAGCTCCTTTTTCATCATCTTTTGGCATCTGGCAAGCTAATAAACGGCTGTGTCACGGGATATGCCAGTGTTGCATAACAACTTGTGGCAACTTTCTTGTCCTCACGTGAATTGTATGCAGGTCTCCAATGAAAGCATTTGTCATATGTTTTCTGGTACTGGAAAGAGCTATTCTCTTGATCTTATCGTATACTAGCGTATTCTTGACGCCCTTTCTGTAGGTGTTATGGATGCCTTTGGTAACGTGTACCCGACTTTACTGGGATGTTTTCTTATTATACTCATTGGCTATGTCTGCGGCCGAGCAAGTTTGATATCAGCAAGCCAAGGAAAAGGAGTTGAGCTGTACATCACCCGTGTCGCCTTACCAGCTTTGCTGTTCAAGTCACTTGTGGAATTAGACTTTTCTAAAGTGGACTGGAATTTTTGGTTTGGGATTCTCGCAGCGAAAGCCATTTTGTTTGTGATAGTTGCCTCGCTAACTCTTCTCGTTAGCCAACCAATGTCAGGGAATCTTGGAAGAGCAGGGTTGTTTGCGATTTTCGTCACGCAATCAAACGACCTAGCACTTGGCTTGCCCCTATGTAAGTCAGAAGCCCCTCTTTATAAATATTTATTTCTTACAAAGAATTTTACTATGGGCTGGAGTCAACGGCGGCGCCAGCCACTAAGCTCTGGGGGAGGGGGGACAAACCAAAGAAATTTAAGCCACACCCTTTTAACCTCTAGAAAATGCCCTTCTACCAACAGAGAACGCCAATTTTATCCGAAGGGAACGCCTATGACTAACTTTTGTTTCAACATTGGCAGTTTGAAAATCATAGGATTACATCACAAAAAGTATGGGGTCAATATATTACCCCTCCCCCGAAATTTTCTCATCGACTTTAGACGAAATACAAAATCGATTCTGCTGAGAACTGGGGGGGGGGGCGTAAAGCACAATCCTTGAAATGCTAAGTGTCACGACCCCCTCTCTTTCGAAGACCATACAATGCATGGGAAAACTTTGTTTCCAGCATGTGAGGAAAGCCCAATCAATAATCTAGTATTCTCAAAAAACTCAAAAATCTCAAATAATGTTGAGAGATTTTCTCATAAAACAATAAATCCTTGCCAATCTATAAATTTACAAATATTCCTTGCCAAACAAATATGAGGTTTCCAACAAATTGCCTATGCCACCTGCTCCTGCTTCTAAAGTGCCCCATGCTCTCCACAGACAATAAGAGCATCAATTTGGTTGGAGCTTAGCAAGCTTTCCTTTATAATGATACATATTACAAAAAATTTATCTTGCTGTATTAGTGGTCATTAAAGGCCCACTTGAGCGAAATCTTCAGCAAATTTGTCAGTGATTGGAATGTCCTCTGTTCTTTCTGGGCATGGGCAAATTTGGTAGCAAAATGTGAAGGTTGTAAGGAGTTAACCTTCTACAAAATAGGCCAGTTTCCACTGGAGCGAAATCTTCAGCAAATTTGTCAGTGATTGGAATGTCTTTTGCTCTTTCTGGGCATTAAGCAAATTCACTAGTAAAACTTCTCAGCAAACACAACTTTTTTCTGAAAGGGAAATTTTGTTGAGGAATTTGCTCAAGTGGACACTGGCCTGAAAATAGTTGTATGTTGATAATTCTATAAACTACTTAACTGCTAAAAGGAACAGCATTGCAGAAGTTTCTGACTTTATTCAAGCATTGTAAGATTTTTTAATCCATTGGACTAGAATGTGAATTGATCTTTAAGGACATTACAGTTCTTTATAGTCTTTCTTTTTGCTTTTGTTTTGCAAAAGTTTGTTCCGTTGAAAAATTATTTTCTTTTTGTAGTTGATGCCATCTACAAAGAAACACATCCTGAATATGTGCAATACTTGTACTTGTTGATTCCAGTGTCAGTAGCTCTCTTGAACCCAATTGGATTTTTAATGCTTGAGTTTCATAAGAATGCAAAGGAAAAAGGCAGCAAGCCCCGCAAGTTGAAAATAATTTGGACAGCAGTGAAAGGTGTTATTTCAAATCCGCTGGTGTTTATGGTGATAATGGGTATTGTCTTCAATTTTGTTTTGAATGGGACAAAGTCTTTTACTGGGTTTGACAGACAGCATTGGTTTCTTTCTCCATTCCTCTCGGTTGTGGGAAACTCTTTTGGAGCTACATCTTTGTTTTATTTGGGACTCAATTTGGTTGGCAACATGAAAAGTTTAAATGGATTCACAATTATTGTTCCTTTCCTTCTTGTTTTCTGTAAAAGGTGAGGCTTTTGTTTGTTGTTTTTTCTAAGCTTTGCTCTTCTAAAAACCTGTGTTGTTGATACCTTAACTTTGCATTATATTGATACACTAAGTTGCAAGTGAATCGAATTGTCTGATAAAGACAATAAAAACAATGTTTACACTGAGTAACCTATTAAACACACAAATTGCTTTTGTCAACAAGGGCCCTTTATTAAAAAAACAACAATATATTACACAATATGCATATCGTATATCATCATAAATCCAGTTTTCATCTGATTTTGCCCACTCTAAAGCGAGTGGTCAGATAATGACATATTAAACTAAATTTTGGTTGTCCAATTAATTTTTTTAGTCAAACTTGGCAACAAAAGTTTAAAAGCAAAGATAATGTAAAAAATTGAATTATGATTCATTGAGAAATATAATTTTTAAGCAGATGCTGGTTTTAATTAGCTTTAATATAGCTAGTAGTGTATGTTTACCAACTTAAACAAAGTAAAGTAAATAATGTGATTGAACAAGAGAAATATGTTTTGCCTTGTTGATTTTGTTATCATGCCAAGGATCACATTATTGCTAATCTTTTCAAGGTCCTTTTCCTCTTCAGTCTTTTTATTTGCTCAAACATGCACTAATCTTCTGATTGGCTCCACACAGCTTGTTTGCACAGTTTTGCTTTGTGGTTAAGGATCCCGTGCTACTACCATGGCATACAAAATTTGTTATGCAACCACAGTGAATGCTAACACTTTGACACAGCAAAAATGTGGACAAAAGTATTGAAGTGGGGGTAAAATAATTTGACCTTAGATTTTCAATGGTAAAATAATCTAAAATCAACAAAGTGATCTGGATGATTTTGTTTCTTATTCCTCAAAACCTCTTTTCTGTGTAGCAAATGTTGGTTTTCACCAGATGAAAGATTTGATACAAATGTTATCAGAGTGTTACTAAATCATATCTTAAATAACATGTGTAAGCTTAGCACATATTGCATTAATGTAGCACTTTTTTCATTGTATTTTTGGGGTGGTAAAAGTAGGAGCACAGTTTCTAGCATTTCAGTTCAAGTTTTTATTGCTTGTTTTTTCTTATCTGTAGCCTCATATTCCCTGTGATAGCAAGACAGGCTGTATTCTGGCTGCACAATAATTCATCTGTAAATGATACAAGCTTGACAAGTTTTGCATTCATTTATGGGACGCTTCCAACTGCACCACCTGTTGCTGTCTATTCCTCAATGTATGGAATTCATGTGGATACTGTAAGTTTGATTTTGTTTTAACTTAGCAGCATAAGTTCTGCACTGTCTAATGAAATATGATACCAC